AGCGAAGTTGTTCTCACCTCTTCTGTTAACAGAGCAATGTGCCAGCAAAGTACAGTATCAGTGCATTGCCAAGAGGCATGAGCAAAAAGGCACCCTTCCTCTCAGAACCACTTATAACAGGTCTTCTCCTTTAACTTTGCTTTTATTGTGGTAAAATATACATAACATAAAATTCAACATTTTGATCTTTTTCATTTTTCCTGTAGTGGGGATTGAACCCAGGGCCTGTACACTAAGCCACACCCCTACCCCAGCCATTTTGGAGACATCTCACTGTCACTAAGTTGCCCGGGCTGGGTTTGAACTTGTAATCCTTCTGCCTCAGCCTCCCACAGTGCTGAGATTGCAGGTGTGCACCAACTCACCTGGCTCATTTTCATCACTTTACATGTATTGTTCGGTGGCATTAGGTACATCACAGTGTTGTGTAACCATCCATCTCCAGAATGTCTCCATCTTGCAAAACTGAAACTCACTAAACAAATTTCAAGTACCCATTAGCCTGTTCCCAGAGCCTGGAAACCACATTGACAAGTCCACTTACTGCCTCCATGAACCTGAGGTAACTCTTGTAAGTGGATTCATACAGTGTTTGTGTCCTTGTGTTTGGCTTATTTCATTCCACACCATGTCCTCAGGCTCACGCGAGCTGCGCGTGACCTTTTCACAACTCAATAAAGGTTTGTGGTGTGTGTGACTTGGTGGTGCTGGGGATGGAACCCATGGCCTCACCCACGCCAAGCAAGTGCTCTGCCCCCCACCCCCACATTATCCCGGCTCAGTCTCCCAAGCAGCTGGCTCACAGGTGTGCGTCATCACGCCCAGGGTGGACAACGTTTTGCTTATCTGTTCAGGTTATTGAGAACAGAGCTGCCACAAACACTGGCATAATCATTGATGTCTTGATTTTTTAAAAAGTCTCTTTTTTCCTCAGTGCCAGAGGTTGGCTTCCCTAACAGTCTAACTGGTCAGTGTCTGTCCATCTGTCTCTCTCCTCAGCTCTGTCCCTACCACAGATGTCTGGCATGAACGTCTACTCAGGCCTCGGTCCTTCTCTCCCTAGGTAACAGCATCACCCTTCTGCCACCCTCAGTTCACATGCAAGCACATGGTCATCCTCCCCGTCCCTCCAAAGCTTGGGCATCCAGCAAGCCAGACCTTCCATCTCCTCAACCACACAGGCTGGCATAGGCATGGGCCTTAACACACAATTCTGCTGTCACCAACTGTGCTGCTATAAACACGGGTGCACATATATCATTGTGGTATGATCTTTTGGGAAGGTACCTGGGTCAAATGGGACCTCTTTTCCTAGTCTTTTGAGGAATCTTCATACTGATTTCCACAGTGGTTGCGCTAGCAATGGAGAAGGGTTCTTTATTGGTTGATTTCTCGATAGCAGCCATTCTTTCTGGAGTGAGGCGGAATCTCAGTGTTGTTTTAATTTACATCTCTTGAATGACCAGTGATGTTGAACATTTTCTCATATATTTATTTGCTGCTTTTACTTCTTTGAGAAATATCTGTTCATTTCAGATGCCCATTTTTGGACTGGGTATTTAAATTTGGGAGGTCTGATTTTTTTTTTTAACTTCTTTATATATTCTAGATAGTAGACCTTTGTCTGAGGAGCAGCTGGTGAAAATTTTTTCCCACATTGTATGTTGTCTCTTAGCTCTGTTAATGGTTTCTCTTGCATTGAAAAGCTTTTTAATAAGATGAGATTTCATCAACTGGAGACTGGATAAAGAAACCGGATAAAGAAAATGTGTGGGTTTTTTTTTAATAAAATGGAGTACTACTCAGCCATAAAGAATGAGAGACTAGAGACATTGATAGCTAAGTGGATGCACACTCTTAAGTGAGATAAATAGGACACGTGTGTATGAATACCGAATAGTGTCCAGTGTGAGAAAGTGAAACTGTAGATAAGGATCAAAATGTATAATAGAAAATGTGAAATAGGAAAAAAAAAGTCTAAGTAGGAAGGGGAACTGGGAGGGATAGGGGAAAGGAAAGAAGGGAAAGGTAAGGGGCTGGGGATTTAGCTCAGTGGTGCTGCTGCCTGCCTTATAAGCACAAGATCCCAAGTTCAATCCCCAGTACAAAAAAGAAGAGGGAGGGGGACAGGAGGGGAGGAGAGAAAGAAAGGAAAGGAAAAAATATGAGAAAAGGAAAAATGCAAACAAAGTCTTTGTAAATAGGGAGGAATGGAGGAGTGAAGAGAGGGCAAGGGAATGGGGAAAAACTAACCAAGATTTATCATGTAAAGGTACAGATTCCTAATGATGAATGCCATCGTATTGTGTATCTAAAATATACCAATAAGCGAAGAAAAATACAACAGCACACAATTCTGGTCTTTTCCTGGAGGTTTCTGGGAGAGGTGCTGAGGTTGAGAATACCGGGAGCTGCCAACAGCTGTGTTGGCACCATGAGAGATGGACCAGAGAGAGCAAAGCCACATGTTAAGAAAAACAGGGCCCAGAGAGCAAGACTGCTCGGTCTGCAGTGTGCTCTGCTCCACTGCGGATGCCCGGCCTTGCACATCTTTTACTTTATCCTTTACAGACTTGAAGTCTGTTGGAGCTTGGGTTTTGTCTCTTGCCAAAAAGGGGGCAGTGTTCCCTGTGCTTTCTTTTCTTTCACTGCTTCCATTTTCTTTTCAGATTTCAGAATTTCCGGAGACACTGGATCAGACACACCAGAGCAGTGGCAGCAAACTTACGGCCCGTGTGTTATTGTGTTTTTAAGACAAAAGGCGTGGTGCTGCACATCTGTAACCCCAGGTACAACAAAGGCTGAGGTAAAAGAATTGTGAGTTCAAGTCCAACCTGAGCAACTTAGGAGAACTTGTCTCAAAATAAAGGGAGAAAAAGAAAACTTTTTTTAAAAGAGCTTATCATGAAGAACAGTTGGTGTTAGCACTGCGGTGCGTTTTAATGGAAATGGCCTGGGGGCCATGTCAATTCCTGACCTACATTCACTGCAGGTTGGAAGAAGAGAATCCCAGGAAACTCAAGAGGCAGAGAAGCCTTTTCCAGACTGGGGTTTTTTGTTTGTTAGAACATCCTTCCATTGCAACATGCTAATTTCATTTACAAAGAGAGACTGTCAAAGCTATATTTTGAAGACTTATTTCTCAGAAAAAAACTACCGCAGGGCCAGGGATTTAGCTCATGGTTCAGCCGCCTGCCTCCCAAGAGCAAGGTCCTGAATTGATCCCCGGTACCCGGCCTCAAAAAAAAACCAAACTACTGCCATTTCTGCCTCTCCTACCTTTTACTTTCACATTGATATCTAAGCATTGGGTTGGGAACTAGTGGTAGGACACAACTAAAGCTCTTGTCTTTTTCACCAGAAGAATGTGTCAGTTTTTTGCAGTGATGTAATTTCTCTCAGAAGCAGTAATGCTTTGTACCAGATCGCCTCCAAACTGCGATGAGAAATTCCAGAACCATCCCCGTTTTCCATTTTTATATAATTTACAAAGAAAGATTAAAACCATGTTGACTATTTTACAGCCACTGGAGCTAACTAACCCTCATTGTGTCCATCTTCCCAGGACAGAATTAAGAGGAACAGATAATTTTTAAAAATATACACCCTCCTTTAGTCTGTTGGGGGATACAAATTATTCTCAGGAAGAATATAATGAACTTTGCCCTATTAAGGTTACTAATAGGTTACTTTGACCTATTAAGGTATTATCAGTAAAAAAAAAAAGATATTAATAATGTGTGATTTTTTTCTAAACTAAAACCTCAGCATTTGGGTTTAATTTTTGGCCCTTGGCAGTGAATAAGTGGGTTTGGGGCCGTGGTTTGGGCACTCAGTCTCTAAAAGGTTCGCATCACTGCACTAGAGCAAGCAAACCTGGCTTTGGTATCTTGGCCCATCGCACTTCTCCTGGGAGAGGCAGGGTGACGTGTCAGTCATCCTGTAGCACGCCTGGCTTTCCACAGCCAAGATGAGTAACAGGTAACCTCTCCTGAACCTCGCAGCCAACATAAATAACTGTTACATGCAGCAGGTGAGGGCAATCACCACATTCAGATAAACTGCCCTGGAGTTTATGGGTGCCACAGAGGACCCAGGGTCGATAGATCAGCTGTCCATCCCTTCTGTCACAATGTCAGAAGCTCAGACAGTAAGAGGAGTCATCTGCATTCTTCCTTGGGAATGCAAACATTCTGGTGCCACAGACCAACCGGAAAGGAAAGGTGGCATAGATGACCAAGTGGGATCCCAGCCAGCAGCCCAGGGGAGTGGCACCCTCCCAGTGCAGCTGTGAAGTCTCACCATGGGTGGGCCAGGACTCTCTCGGCTGGAGCAAGAATGGGAATCAAGGGACCCTGTTGGGAGCCGGAACCCAGGTGGTGACCAGGAGTGCCAGTGGAGGGTTGGGCAGCAAGAAGGCAGAGTCAAGGGTTCAGCTAAGTGGACCGTGTGGGCTGAGGCTGGCTTGTTAAGAAACAAACTGAAACTCAGGCAGAGGTGAGCTGACATGAGATGGGAGAGGGGTGAAGTCAAGGCCGCAGGACTGGGGGCATCTGGCTGTCAATGGCAGAGCCCAGAAGGTAGACCGCAGCATCGTACCCCATTTAGTCCTGACTGTGTGAGTCAGGTTTTATAGTTACTGTCCTCATTTTACAGAAGAGGGAGCAAAGGCCCAGAGAGGCAAAGGCCATCTATGCACCTGTGAAAGGCACAGGGGCATCCGTGTTCCCAAAGCAAGCACCTTATTTCTTTTGATGCTTGAAACTCGGTGAAATGTCACCTTACCATAGTTTTAAAAATTCTTTAGTTTTAAAAAGGCACTCTGCAAACTACTTTACTTTCATAATATAATTACACAAATAGATACGGTACAAACATACAGTATTGGCAGAGTTCTATTTCTCAGTTCAAATAATTTTATCCTTCTGTTCAGGGGAAATATAAATAATCCTATCAACCTGAATAATAAAATTTTTTTCTTTGCCATACAAATTGCTATCATACTCTGGTTTCTCTTCAGATCGTATAAATCTTTCACCTTTTACTAAAGATTTCTGTGGAGAGGAACAAATTGCTATTAATTTGTTTTTTTAAAAAAGCTACTAAAGATAAGGTTAAAAAAAGGTTAAAGGATTAGGTTTTTTAAAAAGGTATTAGTTAACAAGGCATATATTGTATTTCAAGGAACACTTCAATTAAGGCCAGAAATAATTTTCAATAATCAAAATATTTAGTTCTTTGGTAGCTGGTAGGTTTTAAAAATTAGTCCTTGACCCACATATATACATGCAAATTATTGGGGTTTATAATAATTGGGTAAAGATCTATAAATAGTACTTAAAAGCCTTGTTCAATATTTCTGCTGGCTTGAACCACCAGTGTCCCATTGGGTGGCTCACACCACCGATGGTACAAGGATCTAGTCACTTTTATTGGTCTTTTTACTAATAAAGTGAATAAAAGCCTATAAATGGACCAAATCTAGTTAGTTGCTTGAATTTGAATAATTACTGCTCAATTATGTTAATTTATATAATTCAAATTTTAAATTATAACAAATTTATTTCATTAAAAAGTTTGTATTCATGAGTAGTTTATCAGTAATTCTCTAAATTTTAACGTGGAAATGTTACAATTGATGGTGCATTTAAAGCGCACTTAACTGCTGTATCACACACTAGCTGTATTACAATCTTTTATACCATTTAATGTCTTCCTTAAGGAATTGTATTATGACGACATGTGGGCTGCTAAATTCACTCCTTTTCGTTACCAAAGAGCCCGAGAAGTGGCTCAAGGCCTCGGAAGGGACAGTCGTGCCGGAAACCTTCAGTGGTTCCAGCCGACGAGATCAACCGAATTCGAATCAGAGCTGCCTGGCAGCAAGACGTGTGAATTATGGCCCCATGAAGGTGTTTGTTTGTTGGTTTGTTTTTAATCGAACTTGTCTCCTTGTCTCAAAGTAAAACTTAAAAATAAATAAAAAATAAAATTTAAATGAGCCAAGGATGCCCAGTGAAAGAAAGCAGGCCTGCTCCGGCCATACGGCGCCCCCGACACAGGGCACACCCGTTCACCAACTCCAAGCTGGCTCTACATTCTCCTTCCCTTTGCAAGGGGCAGCAGAGGCGTGGACGTGATCGTGGGTGAGGAGAAGGCCGGGGTAGAAAAGGCAAGGCTGAAAAGCCAGCAGAGGCAAGGAGGGAGCATGGACCCAAGTGTTGGCCTCCGCGGCTGAGTGGGTGAGCGACTCAGGAGACCCGCTCTCCGCCTTCCACCTCCAAGCCTGTCTCCCGGGGCTGAGCTCCCTCCGCTTTCGCTTTCG